CAGGTTTCAGAGAAAAATCTTATTTGAATGTACTAGCGCCTGAGCTTTCTTCGTAGTTCGCGTGGTATTTCCTCAACTCAATTTTTTTTTCCCATGCTTCTTTCTTCGAGCTCCTCCAAGGCTTCTTTACCTGATTAAGATTAAGTCCCAACCACTCCTCTGCTATCGCTCTTTTGGTCTTAGTCCTCCCACCATGTTGATGATTCGAAAACAAGGCAAGGGATATCTTCAAGTTCTGGGCCATCGGTACAAGATAAACTGAAATACCTTTCCAGAATGGAATAAAAGAAGGACCAACAGGTAAATGAATAAAAACACAGAAACTGTCCATGAAAGTTGTCATCACCCTTGTTTTTAATAACCAATTCAAGCTTACGAGTTAGCATGAAGGGACAGTACCTGGTGCAAGGGTAGATCGTGAATTCATGGTACAAGTACAAGTACTCGTAGTACAGAGCAGGGATCAGAGGTTAGTTAGCAATAGTACAGCGCCCACAAGAGGGATGCCTTGACTCTGTTCGAATAAGACCTATTGAATTCAATAAAGCAGGAACTATGGAACCAGAACATAGTGTGATCATAGCAAACCATTACTGATTAATTTTTTACTCTTTCATCTTCATCATCACTCATTCATGAGCCCGTGTTGGGAAGAGTGCTTTTTCCGGTGTTCCAAAATTCCACACAAGAAGGAGGGTAACCACCCCAGCTCTGTGCCGTGAATTCGTGATCTATCCTTGTACTCGTACAAGTACTCGTACTCGATAGCATACTCCTTACGGTTAGGTTGGCTCACCTCCACGTCGTTACTAACCATCCGTAGGGAGAGGGTTGATCCGAGACGCTAACACACTGGGAGGCTCAGAGTGGAAGTGCAGAAAAAGAAACGAAAAGGGCAAAAAAAAAGAGAAAAAGAAAAAGGAAAAGGAAAAGGGAGAGTCGCCCCTCTTCAGCTCTTGCCCAGCTGTCAGATTCTCACCACCATCTCTTTCTCCTTCCAACCTCTGAACCCCAAGTTACCGCTAATTCTCTCAACTCCCTCCTTCGTGGGGTTAATTTTCCCTTCTTTCCACATCTCCACTCAGTTCTTTGTTTCGAAATTTTATCTCTCTCTCTCTCTCTCTCCCTGTTTTTTCCTTCTGTTCATAGACGTTTCACTGGTTTAGACTAGATTTCTGTTTCTCCACCTTTCTCTCCCCTTTTTGACACCCTTCGGCTCGCTCTTCTGCCTTACCGATACCGGAGGTTGTTTGTTCGTGACACCGCCGTCACGCGAATTGTTTCCCATGCCGGGAGTTTTGGACGCCGCCAGTCCCACATTCATTCCTCCATCCTCGACCCATCAACCTTCGGATATGTCGCTCACCGGGACCGCTATTTCCGACCACCTCTCGGCCGTCTTTTCCGCTGATTCATCTCAAGGTTCCCTCGATGCTGCTCTCGCCTTATGCAGCGCCATCCTGTCGGACCCCGCCATAACCCACCATTCGTTCCCTGCATTGTTTCCCCCGCTCGCTAAGGCTGCCGCGGATAAGAAGTCGGGTACACGACGCGAATCGGCTATGATCGTGTACGGAGCGCTATACGAAACCGTGATCCCCAAATCCCCGATAACGGAGGTCCTGTTGCTGAAGGGGACGCTGCCCACTGTTTTGGATGGGCTAGCCGACAAGGGCGCTGTTGTTCGCGAGGCCTCACAGTATGCTATCGATGCAATGTTCGCGCTTCTGAAGGAGGAGGCATTGGTTGTCGGTCTTGTTAGAGTACTTATGGTGTATGTCAAGGGTTCTGGCTCCAAGTGGCAGGGCAGAGTTGCGGCACTACAATTGATTGGAAAAGTTGCGGAAAAGGCTGTTACGAGAGACGGGTTTCTTAAGGAAGTTATGGGCCGGGAGTTGGAGGCTCTGATTCCGGTGGTCGAAGGTGGAATGCATGATCTCAAGAACGAGGTATCAAGAGCCGCTGTGAAGGCTATGACCAGCTTGAGCAAGTTGCTCAGTAACGATGATGTCGCGAGACACATTCCGACTTTGATCAAAACCATGAGTGATCCATCAAAGGAAACTTTGCAGAAGGCTATTCACGACCTTAGGTACGCGACCCGCCTGCGCCGACCATCTGACCACGGCTAACCCATCTAGTCAAACCACTTTCATCGCTATAGTCACCTCGCCAGTCTTGTCTCTTCTGACTCCTCTCCTTGAGCGATCGCTCTCGTCACCACAGACCTCTCAAGATGTCCTTCGTCAAACAGTTGTCGTTGTTGAGAACCTTACAAAGCTCGTTCACGATCCTGTGGAAGCTAGGGAGTTTCTCCCCCGCCTTCAGCCGGGTGTGAAGAAAATAGAGGATACCGCTGCGCTTCCGGCAGTCCGCTCGTTAGCCAAAGATGCAAACGCTACAATGGTCAAGGCCATGAAAGTCGGCAATGGGACTGACGTCCCGGAGAGGATATCCGTTGACGAAGTTGAGAAGGAATTAGTTGCGAGGGTCATCATCGGAACCGACAAGAAGAAGATTTGGGAACAGGATGGGGTAGGACGATATATCGCGGAGATGGTTCGTGAGTGCATTGTGGCTCGCGAGTTCAAACGGATTCCTGGTTGTGTCACAGTTTACCTGGAGCATTTCCTCACACAGGACGATCCCAAGAGGGTTGCGGCTGAAATTGAAAGGTGGGCAAGAGAGGAGACACTCAACCGATTCGGCAACGGGATCGGGGAAGTCGATGATGAGCACAAACATGAGGTGGAAATTGTCAACGCAGAATTCTCACTCGCCTATGGAGGGATGATGCTTCTAACCCATACGAATTTGACGCTTTATCAGGGCCACCGATACGGTCTTTGTGGCAGAAATGGCGCTGGTAAATCTACGCTTATGCGTTCTATTTCCCAGGGCAAGCTCGAAGGATTCCCTAGCAAAGACGAGCTGAGGACATGCTTTGTCGAGCACAAAGAACGCGATGAGCGTGACATGAGCATCGTCGGGTACATTCGCCTTGCCCTTGAGGAAAACGGCGACGGCAACATTAGCGAAGAGGAGATTGTGGAGACTTTGAAGAGCGTCGGTTTCGAGGGTGAGCGAGCAGAAATGAACATTGGCCAGCTCTCGGGAGGATGGAAGATGAAACTGGGTCTCGCCGAAGCTATGCTCAAGCGGGCTCAGGTCTTGTTGTTGGACGAGCCGACCAATCATTTGGATGTGGGCAATGTCCAGTGGTTACAGAATTATCTCAAGTCGCATACGGAAATCACTAGTTTGATCGTCTCCCACGACTCCAGGTTTTTGGACGAGGTTTGCACTGATATTATTCATTACGAAGACAAGAAGCTCGTTTACTATAAGGGCAACCTTTCTGAGTATGTATCTCCATATGTTAGTCCGAACGGAAGTTAATACGTGATAGATTTGTCCGGAGGCGGCCGGAGGGCAAGGCGTATTACACTCTTGATGCTTCCAGCGTCTCGTTTAAATTCCCACCCCCAGGTCTCCTCACGGGGGTCAAGTCAGCAACTCGCAGCATTATCAAGATGACCAATGTTACCTATACATACCCCACCGCCACCAAACCGTCCCTCTACAATGTCACCGCTTCACTATCCCTCTCGTCTCGTGTCGCTATTATTGGTGGTAACGGCGCCGGGAAATCGACATTAGTTAAACTGCTTACGGGTGAGATGGTTCCACAGGAGGGAAGGGTTGAGAAACATCCCAATCTCCGAGTTGGCTATATGGCACAGCAATCTCTCCACCACGTGCAAATGAACCTCGAAAAGACCCCATCTCAGTACCTCCAATGGCGTTACTCCTCAGGAACCGACAAAGAGGTTGCCATGAAAGACACCCGTTTACTCTCGGAAGCCGACAGGAAACAGCTGGAGACACCGATCGACCTGGGCGACGGCCGTGGCCCACGACGCATCGAGGCCCTTGTTGGTCGTCAAAAGTGGAAAAAGAGTTTCCAATATGAGACTAAATGGGCCAACCTAATGCCAAAGTTCAACACGATGATTAGCCGAGAAACACTGGTGGAAAATGGATTCTCCAAACTTGTCCAGGATTTCGACGATGCGGAGAGCGCCCGCGAGGGTCTTGGGTATCGTGAATTGGATGTGCCATCTATCGAGAAGCACTTCGAGGACATCGGGCTGGACAAGGAGATCGCAATGAACAACGAGATTGGCGGCCTTTCCGGGGGTCAGAAGGTCAAGGTCGTTATCGCGGCGGCTATGTGGCCGAAGCCACATCTTCTCATCCTAGACGAGCCGACGAATTACCTTGACCGGGAGTCCCTAGGTGCGTTGGCTACGGCGATTAAGGAGTTCCGTGGAGGTGTCTGCTTGATCTCCCACGACGCGCAATTCGTCTCCCAACTCTCGAACGAAGAATGGCATATTGAGGCTGGACGGATGGTTAAGAAGACCAGTAACGGTAGCAATATGAGCCTATCGCTTCCTTTGGATCTCAACTCTCGCCCCGGTAGCTCCGCCGTCAGCCTTGCAAGTTCAGCCGTTAGCTCGGCCGCTAATACTGACGTTGAGGATAACCATGGTGAGGGAATGGAGTTCAAAAGCGTCAAGAAGGGGAAGAAGAAGAAGTTTACCCGCGCTCAGTTGAAGGAGCGAGAGGTGAGGCGGAGGTTGAGGTACTTAGAGTGGTTGAATAGCCCAAAGGGGTGAGTGCATGAATCCGTTCGTCTATCAAACGCCTCTACTAATATCCTTTTTATTGTTTACCTGTAGAACACCAAAGCCGGCTGACACTGATGACGAGTCTTAACGAATGATGATGTCCAATCTTTCTATGTTTTTTTTTTTTTCAACAGGTGGACTAGAAATGGCTATAGATCGTGAATTATGGGATTTATGCTTTAGTGTCTCTGTGTTCTGAATTGTATTTTCTTTTCGTACGGGGCAACTTAGAGCGGGTATTTGCGCGGCCGGTGTGGTGGCAGGGGTGGGTATCTATGAAAGGGAGAATGCCCCTTAGGAAGATTTGGCGTGTGATTAATAATTATGAGTGGAAGTATCATATCGATAGTGAGTGTGAATGGAAAGAGGCGGTGGAGAAATAGGTGATGTGAAATGGTAGCTATTACGCGAATGGACAAGAGAAGGGGCTGGATGGAACCGTGAGTGATGATGTCCAAGGAATAGCCGGTGGGCGAGAAAGTGTACGGCGGGGGAGTGGAAGTGGAGAGAAGCGGGACGCAAGAAGAACAGACCAATTTGGGTCGCGACACGGATCGCGAGAGGGGTTTGAATGACTACCAGTATCTCACTATCATGCGAAAAGTGGAGATGGACTGCCGATAGCGGGCCAAATGTGCTGGTCGATCGAATAAGGCGGCCGACCAAAGCGGGTCACTTGTACCCTTACAGTACTTTTGTCCAGCCCGAAGAATCGGCCAGTAGAAATCATGGGTGCCGTACTGGCTGCTACGACAGCACCTGCTCACCCTGTGGAAGAGTTACTCGTGGCAAGCGCTGATAAACTTTACTCATGGTGGTCACTATTTTCTGAGCTCCACCGTCACCAAATATCACTCCGTTGACTATTATTGGCTAGTCTTGTACGGAATGAGCTTGTCGGTATCATTCTTATCTATGCGATGGTTGGAATTAGTATGGGAATGCTGTCGATGTGGGAGGTGGAATTTGGGGAATGTTTATTGCCATTCATGGCAGGATTTGGGGGAGTAGGAACGGGAATGGAAGGTTGGGTTCTGGCAATGTGCTGGACTAGGAAACTTGTATTTATTGTCTGTTATAGCTGTCGCTCTAGGCTGTGATAAATCGAGTCGATATAAGGGTTTACGACCAGGTTTCAGCTAGGGTATTCTTTGTTAATTCTCCCTACTTTCAAAATTATAATAAAATTATTTTCACAAGAAAAAGTATGAGAAATACACATTATCAGAAGCCACAGTGTGGAGCCAGTGGCACAAATTTCAATCCACGACAACTTTTTCATTTCTTAATGAATTATGATGGATTTTTTTTTTCATTGAAATCTAGAGATCCCAGAGATCTTAGAAATCAAAATTTATTTTCTCTTCTTGATAGTTGAATTTCCTTGACTTTACTAAGTTGTGGTATTGGGATGTAGTTTTGTGTTACCATAGAGGATTTCTGACCCTGAGTTTAGCTATAGAAGCCAGCATTCAGTTGGAGAATACAGTTAGATGATATCTTGAAATTCGTAATGGGTTTAGTAGGCATATTTTTAATATGAAAGATTGTAACAGTTTTGCTAGTAGGAATCTCTACTCGTATTCGCTAAATAACAATAGCCTATTTGTCATTAATGGAGGAAGAATATTACTTGCCCTAACTAGGTAAAGATAATGACTGACATGAAATCAATTAATACAAAAGTATTATTACTGATATCTACTATTTTAACTATTTTCTCCTATCTATATTCTATATTTTCATTCTTTCTATTATATTTTATAGCTTTTATGATATTTTTATTTTACTTTTCTTTATTTTACCCAATACCCTGGTTGCATATCACAAAATATCATATTATAAAAATACTATGGTATTTGCCAGTGTGGCATATCTAACATCCTGCCAATTTATTTTAAAAAACTATGAAAAAAATGCCATAAAAATAAAAATACCATGGTATTTTTAGTATGTCAAACAGGTTCTTAGAAATTTCCTATGATTTTATTCTCCTAATAAATCTTTGTAGGAGACTGAATATAATACCTGAGTGAGACTTAGGTGGAGCTGTAAATAGGGTCTCACTATGGAAGATATATCTAATTTCTTCTTTTGACTTGAATAATAATTTGGCTCCAGGGCAAAACCCACTCCACCTCACCTTCTAAGCAAGATGAGACCAGCAAATCAACCCTGAAAATAAGTTGCGTTTAGGGTTCTAGGACTGCTTTGCACCTATATAATATTTAGTTTATATTTACTGTAAAAGTATTTCAGCACCTATTATAACTATTCTCCTACAACTTTAAAACTCCTACTCCATTCTTTGTTGTTACAGGTAAATCCCCTCAATTTTATCAACATTATACTTTTATTATTCAATGACTTACAGTATTTCTTCAATAGATTATTTCGTTCAGATTCTTAATTTCACTGTATATTGAAATAACATTCGATATATTTGCTAGTACTACCTCCTGGATATACTTTTTACAAGACATGGATATAGTTGCAAAAAGGGAGAAGGGCAAATTGCAGATCTGTATATGAGTAGTCATGTTTCACAATAGCAAATCCAAAAAAATTGCAGCTCTCGGGAGCCAAGTCTGAGAAGGGTCTAGATATAACTTTAGGTCTGAAAACAGACATGAGAGAAACTGCCACAGTAGAAAAATAGGTACAAGGCCTTACCATTGATGGTTTCCTCAAATTAGTAAGAAGAGGTAGAACCCTGGTAGTATTTACAAGTCCATTAAGTAATATACTGGCAGTCCAGCAGCAGTTATAAAATGTATCAGACTGGTATACATATGCCATCTTTTATAAAAATTGTGTTCTTGGTATAGATGATCCAAGTTTCATGAGACACACTGCAGACATTCCCTCTTATAAAGGGGTCTGACTTGTTAGGAATCTAGAAAAGGCATTGGGTAGTCAGAAAACAAATGGTACAATTAGTGAAATTTGTTTTAGCGTTGGTAGCAATTCAGGAATAATGTGTTAGAAAATGACGCCCAGTTGGATTGAAAATGAAGTTAATAGAAAGAAGGAATTCAATTTGAGTTGTTGGGAGAATTGAGAAGGATGGATAAGGTTGGACTGGTAGATTAAATTTATCATATTTGCAGTATAATATCAACTGGTGAAATCAGACATATCAATTGTTACTGATGTGGACTAAGTATAGCATATGTTATATGGCTCAGAATTCTGTGTCATAGATATGTTAGATGATATAACTCACAACTGTAAGAAGTCCAGAGACTTCAACTAACTTATACTAGTGGGCCATAGATGTCAGACAGATAACACAAGTGGTATAGCTGACGAATTACTTCAGTTTTGATTGGTTTATAATATACTATACCGCTATTCAGAGGAGTCAACTGAAGTATTTCTTCCAGCTTGCAGTAGTGAGTACTAGGTGTGCGTAATATAAAGAATAAGTTATACCACATATATAGTGACTATAGAAAGGATCATAAGAACCCAGGAGTATAGGCTCTTCATAATTTATTTCCAGTTGTTTGCTACAGACATATTTGTATAGCAGGAAAATAAATTACTGCACCATAGTTCCTTTTCATAATACTATTCTGTAGGTGGCCTGGGTCACGGCCACCCGGCTATGGAGACGGAAAGTGCATGGGTTTTTCATTGCATACATTGGTTGTGATTTTCTTGGTTGCATGGTTGGATTTCCTTTGTATGAATGATTGGGATGCGTTGCCGCGCAACGGAAGATAGCAGAACCTGATAGAGGAATGGTGGCTGCGCACGACGCCAAGAACTTTCTTTTGTATTAGTGATCATGGAGGATTTTCTTAGTATATAAAGGGGTGTGCTCCTTTATATTTTACGTTCTTTACGCAATATGGGAATCTCCTTCGGACACCTGTACTTAGGAATTACACTCTCGGCTATCTGGCATCCTCCTTAACCGCTGAACCCTGACCCTCAATTCCTGAACCCTGAACCTCGTACAACTCGCTTCGGTTGTACCCCCGCACTCAGACCCCGTCTCCAGAATCCTGCCTGCCCTGATCGTAGTGTGCCTTGGGCTACCCGACCCTCAGACCTTGTCTGTTACACAAGATTGCGTCTACCAGGACCCAATCCACACCCTACCATGTCCCTACTTCCCCCCGCTGTCGTTGGCCCCCTTCAAGCCCTTGGGGCACTGACAGACTAGGACATCCAAGAACATTCCGTTGATCAGGTCCGGAACCAGTTCACCCTCGTCAGGAACTTGGCCAACCAGATATTGGGCCTGCCCGCTCCTCCCTCTACCAAACAGACTCCCCAGTACCAGCAGCTACAACAACACTGCAACCTCCTGACCCAAGAACAAGATGATGTCCGAACTGAGTACCAAGGCCTTGAAGCTCGTCTCCTCATCGTCGAAGCCAACCTTACACAAGCTAATGCCACCATCACATCTCTAAACACTGTCCTCGCCCTCATGCCTGCCGCAGGAGCCGCAGCCCCGGCTGGCGGCAACAAACCAATCTCAGTCCCTAACCCCAAACAATTTGATGGTGCCACAGACAAGCTCCGCCCTTTTGTCACCCAGCTTCAGATGAAACTCCAGGGTGACAGCCACAGGTTCAATGGTATACAACATCAACTTGGCTACGCCATTGGTCTCCTGCGTGGACGTGCCTACCTCCAGATTCAACACTAGGTGTTGGCCAACCGCATCGATTTTGAAAACATTGACGCCCTCCTCGCCAAATTGGAACAAGAGTTTGGTGACCCTAACAGGGTCCAAACAGCGGAATGCGCTCTGAGGAGCCTTCAACATGAAAACTGCCCCTTCGTGGAATACCTTGCCGACTTCCAGCATCTAGCAGTTGACACCCTCTGGAACGATGCCGCCAAACGTACCTCTCGTTACCAGAGCCTCAGTACTGAACTGAAGGATGCCCTGGTACATGTATACCCTATCTCGGACTCTTTAACGACTACCTCTCCCTCCTCAAGCACCTCAACAACAACGTTTGCACCCATGCCACTGAAAAGAAAGGCTCCGCCTCCTCCTCTTGGAGGACCGCCACCCGCGCAGCGCCTCGCACTGCCACTCCCGCTCCACCTCCAGCCTCAACAGCCACCGGCACCACCTCCGGCCCCATGGACCTCTCTACCGGTCGTCGAAAGCTCACCACTGCCAGAAGGCAAGACAGGATCAACCGAGGCCTATGCCTCTACTGTGGGGGACATGGACACATGGCTCCCGCTTGCCCCAACAAGGGACCTCGTCCCATGCACGGGGCCAGCACCCATGCCGCCTCTGCTTCTGAGGAGCCCCTCCCTGCCCAAGAAGAGTCGGAAAACTAGTGGTCCCATGTGCAGCCATGGGCACTGACATGGGACATGTTAAGTCTTCTCCTGGTTTAGTTATTTCTAGTTTATGTCTGGACGAAATGGAAAATGGAATTGAGGATAACCACTTGGTAGTCGCCTGTAACATTATAGACAACCAACACGTAATCCGAGCCCACGCCCTTATCAATTCTGGAGCAACTGGTTACGCTTTCATGGATATAGACT